GGCCCTTTGCTATGAGAAAACATACATACATTGTTCGTTTTTGTTTCTATCTTCTCTGAATTGTAATGTTTCCTTTCTAATTTTTGTTGTTGTTGTAATAAAAATTATCTTTCCCTAAAAGCCAATAAAAATGTAAATAAAATTTAAAGAAAAGAAATCTATATAAAATCAACACTAATAATTTTTTCAAAACTGAAAAGGATTTGGTTGTTTGTATATTCAAAGTATTATTTTTTAATAACGTTATTTTACTGGTAAGATCAACAATACATAATCGTTTTATAAGAATCTGACACATAATTCAACAAAAAATCTTATTACGAAAATATCACAAATATAAGATTCCTGTTTTCTTAGGCGATAATTAATGGAAAATTATATACACAAAATCAATCAAAATACCAACGGTTTACTTGTGAATAGTCTGAAACCTGACAAAAAATCATCAACAAAATAGTATAATGAGACGATTTATTTTAAGCTATTGGAAATTTCGACGTACAAATCCAGTTTTAAAACATCGATTTAAGAACTTAGTTACGTCATATCGCCATATAAAAAAAAAAAACCACAACCTTCGGCTTGTGGCGCTGGGAATACTTTAGATTTGCCTGACGGAGTTTGTACCCTCGTACATGAATATGGAACTATTATTTGACCTTGTTACTAATGGGTTTAATCTACACCACAGCCTTCAAACGTTGCGCAACTGCCCATGGAAGCATAAACTTTTTGACCTATATTTTATTGTGAATACAGTCTCCTCATCGTAAGTAGGATAAATCAATTGATATAACGCAGTTTTCTTTTGTTTCTTTGTTTTTAAGCGCAAGGCTACGCAATGGGCTATCTGTGTTGTACCCACCGTGGGTACCAAACTCTGAATTCTAACATTACAAACTCTCAAGCATTAAAGTTCGTCAGGTATTTTAAATTAGAAACAGATCACGCGTGTAGATCGATAGAATTTTATTTTCAAAAGTTGATTTTAAGATATTATGATTAATTGTATCTTGGTTAAACTATGATGATAATATTTTAGGTTCATAAGCACTATAGTATAAGTAATCAAAGATTTGTAAAAATATGATTAAAAACAAATGTGCTTGAAAACATACTGAATTAGAATCACAATAGAAAATATAATGTTAATAACTAACAAGTAAAATTGATGAAAATAACGTTTTTCGGTTATTTTACTAGATACTTTTTAAAAGTAAGTACGATATCTTAGTACCTGAAAACATTTCCGTATTTTTTGCCAAGATCTGTTATATGAAGATACGTCTGTTTGCCTTTTAAAAATGGCAAATAACCCACAACAGGAAGACCAATTGGGCCTGGAGGAAAATTTCTAATACGAGTAACCATCCAACGAAGAAACAAGAATATAAATGAAGCAAGAAAAAATGTCGAAAAGCTCCATCCTCTAATAAAATCTAAGGCTGTTTCTAAAATGAAACTTGCCATGTTTAACCAGTGACGTAAGACTAACACTTGAGCTGCCCGTGTGTTTATATACCCCTGACCATTTTGATCCCACTAGTAACAATGAAAAAAAAAATTGGAAAGCGCTAAAACACGATATCGAAATCGTCGTGGAACTGACGTAATTATACAATTCTAAATGTAATAATTTTTGTTGTTGTTGTTAAGCAAAAAGCTTCATAATACGATATCTGTTCTCTGCTCAACGTGAGTATCGGAACTCGTTTTATAGCGTTATAAGCCGTCAGACTCACCGCTGAATTAACAGGTAGACAACGTAATCAGCAAATCCACATATCTGTTTGTTTCATTTATTATTTTAGTTCCCTCAGCTGTCACTTTACAGGCAACATCCTCTTTTGATGATGTTGTTTTATCATCTTCCATCAACTTGAAACTGTTAGTTTTTTACAAATAGTGAGTTTATTCAAACATAAATGATATTGTTACGAATTTGCTTGTTTGATAATTTCCGGTAAAAATTCTTTCCGAGTGACTTCAGCGATACAAGTCCCTTCTTGATTAAAACTAGTTTATTCTTTCTCGTTACAAACTTTGTAATACACTTAATTTCCACAGTCACTTTAAACTTAACAGCCTTTATAACACACGCTATAAATCACAGTGATTCATACACTTTACTTACGGTGCCTACTGTTCGCTTGACTCAGTTATCTCTATCTTCAATCTATCTGCATATCTATCTGTCTATGCAATTTCGCTGGCTTTATTTGCCGGGCTTATATACTCAAAAAGAGGGCGCCTGGAGCAAACTAGAGTTGCCAGGAAAATTCATGATCCTTTCAGAAACTCCAACGCGCATGCTCCCAGCGTCACGCGACTTCCGCTATCATAACAATATATATATATATATATACATATATTCTAAGATTGTTTGTTTGTTTGTTTTTGAATTTCGCGCAAAGCTACACGAGGGCTATCTGCGCTAGCCATCCCTAATTTAGCAGTGTAAGACTAGAGGGAA